ACATTATCGATATCCTGTCATTTAGGCGGTTTTTTATAACAAAATTTGACCTCTCTAATTTTTTTTACGTGCTTTATTATTTACAAATTTGTTGGTTGGTATACGTTACTTCGTTGTTTTTATTTTATTCATGTAAATAAACAATAGACCGTATTACATCCATAACGAATACAAAGGTGTATGAATAAGACTAATTATTTTCACATTTGCGTTAGAAAAAAAGTAGTACCCACAAATGCTTCAACACTGGGGGATCTAGATCCTCATTAAGACGAATTTCACGTGCGTCTAACTGTCGTAAAATGAATTTCCAGTGTACGAGTATCGTAAAGGTGGGACTAGTATTAAGGTTAACAACTCGCAAATAGATTTTATGCTTTTTATGACACGTTAAAAGGTTTGACGTGTTTAACCAAGCGTATGTCGCTAGAAGACAGTTTTCATAACATAAGTCCGTCAGTAAGTGAAGAGGTGGATTTTCGCCCGGAGGTGGACGCGTCGAGGAGGGCGGGGGGGGGGAAAAAAGGGGGGGGGGGTGGCGGGCAGGCACTAAAGCAAGGGAACAAAGTCGCTATCGTGTCGGTTTCGTGTCGGTTTCGAGTTTCGGGACTTGTTTGTGTTTCAGTGTCGGCTTTAGTTTTTGTTATTCACACCGAACTATAACTCATTCTTTTTCCAAATACTCTTGAACTATTTGCGCCCCCCCCTCCCACTCTTACCAGACGTCTCTCTTACAAGCGCCGCTAGGGTGGACAGAAAATAGTCCGGACGTCGTTGCCTCGGTCTTTAGTCGTCCCCGAACGGGACGTGACTCACACACACACACCACCTAACCAGTAAACCTGGCTTAGTCGCCACCCCGAAGTTACATTCGCCGGGAGGGTGGTCCTAACCCGGGTAATCAAGGCCCATGCACGAAAGCATTGCGTGCATGGGGCCTTCTTAGTTTACCTCTACTACTGCAGTACTACTGCAAAGTGCGCGTTTGGCTCCGCAAAACCCTCCATAAAAGACTAAAGATCTTCAAAAATGAGCGATTTGTCCCAACATCGAAACTCCAAAACTGAGACGTTGTTCGGGTCGGTCAAATGTGACGTCTTTTTTCGAACGTATTCGTGTGTTTCCGCGCCCGCTCGCCCATTATTGGCCTTTTCCGTACTGTACCGTAAATTTTACTAATTTTTTTAGAAGGGCCCCCCCCCTTATGAGGGCCTGCGGATCTCCGTACACTGGCCAGGTGGGGGGTAAGATAACACATAAGGAACCTATCGGAGATAACGTACGAAATATGAAAAGATAACATTCTAGCGCGACCCCCGGGGCGGGTTGAGGGTTTCTAGAGCCGGATCACCGACGTTTAAGCAGGATCTCGCGCCGGACGGAGGTAACCTTGATGAAACGAATGAAGCCTTGTTATTACTGGGGTGGAGTGATCCTTAATGTTGAACCCCGTTGAAGATGAACCGATCACGACCGTGTTGGGTAGCATGACATATCCGATCCCCGGCCTCGTCTGACCCAGACCCAAACTAGTCTCGTTCTTCCCACTTTTCTCCACCGACGTCGTGTTTCCCCGGTCCTACTTCTTTTTATTTCTCGGAAAAACTTGTCATTTTTCGTACATCTGTACAGTGTCATCTCCGTGATTTTTCTGGGACGGTCTTTTGCGCTAAGACACTAGCGTCTTAAATGCGCGTATTTAGTCGTTTTTTACCGCGTTAATAAGAAATTTTTCCGGCGGTATAAATGGTTCTTCCGGACGTATTTAGGGCGGCGTAAAAAAGTGTGTGGTTTCAACTTCTTTTTGTGTTCAATTGAGCAGAACTGCAGGGTAGTCGAGCGTCCGTATAGGTGTCTTACATTTGTTGTGCACATATCTCTTCACTTTGCACACCTCGACGTGTGGCCTATGCTCTTTTTGTGGTTCTTACTTTTTTAGGATTAGGTAGAGGTAAAATCGGCTGCTTCGTAAAGATGATTTCTGGCCCCGGTTTTTCATCCCCTTTGATTAAGACGTCCGGGGCACCGTTTGAACAACAAACCTCGTAGTTCTCTTTTTAGCTCGGCCACGCTCATGGGCTGCGGCGGCGTGAAACTAAGTACGCGAGTTTTTCAAACCTGTTTATCCCAATAATTATAAAGGAGTGCCTTGGAAATATTTGTTTACATAAATTGTGACCAAACCGTTTGAGACCCACTGAGATAACTTAGACTAAAGTTAACTATCTAAATACTCAGAGTCCTTTACCTCACTGAGCTGTAGTTATCAGCCTCTCAGTCTGACTGGAGAGGACTCTCCCTCCACATTATTGTAGAAACGTCTTCTTCTAATATCCGTTCGGGCAGCTAGCACCAGATTCTAATAACAACAGCACCGGTACCGGTGCACCCTCCCTCTCTCCCTCATTCGCTCCCAAGCTCACTCGCACTTTGGCAGTGAGCTGCGGGCGCCAGATAAGCCAACATCCCCCATTTTCATCACTTACAGCGCCCATCGTACAGGGCAAATGAAAAGTGTAACCGGGGTCAAAAAAGGGTGTTACATTTACTTAATTATGAATGTTGTTACATCAAGGCCGAAAATTAGGATGAGCACCAACGGTCAAAAATGTTTTTCTACCAGCGCAGCGCCTCCCCAGATCTGGCGCCCTAGGCGAACATCTATAACGCCAGTGCTATGGGCCGGCCCTGAATGGAGGCGTTTCAGGTAGAGGGGGAGAGAGAGTGTGGGAGAGAAATTCCCTCTGGAGGGAACACAGGGATTTTAGCCTTTGCAGACATTTACACGTATAACACACGACAGGAAAGGGAACACCCCAAAAAGCATGATAGGGCCTCTTTAAATGTACTCCAATGTCCCCCTCTTCCTCGTCTTATCATTATAGACAGCCAGGTGCCTAATCGTTGAGGACGAAACCCCAATCAATTTCTGGCTCATCGTCGAGTCGCATCACGAGGAAGGACACCAGCTGGAACATGTTCTGCCACACGCCCAGGAAGACGTACAGGTAAAAGTCGCTGACATCAATTTGGCAGTGTATCCCTGCGTGATCCATATCACACACGCACTCAAAACCGTTCATGTAATTCACGCAGAAGCCGCCGTTCATGCATGGGCTTGAGACACATTCATCCACGTCCTTCTCACACCTGGAAGGAAACATGAGGACAAAGGGGTATTAGAGCAGAAACTAGAAAAAGTACAATGTGATGATAACTCTTTAAAGTTTTCCCAAAGGAACTGATCAACTGAGCTTTCATCTGCCACAAGGGGGCTCTGTCTTCAAACCCAAGTGTTGGTGCAACATTCACCAAGTGGTGAAAGTGCTGAAAATAATTGAGTCATAAAAGAGCTATAATAATTTAAACAACGAAGACACAAGGAAGGAAGGAACGAAATATTTATGAAGTAAAAGTATATATATATGTTTTTTTGTTTTACTTTATACTTCCACATATTTATTTATTAATTATATTTCTATCTATTTGTCTTTACATTTCCGCATTTAAATTGACTTTGGATTATCCCTATTTTTATTTCCACATGTTTTCTTATTTTTATAGATGTATTATGTTATTATGGAACCCCTATAGACAAAACAACGTTCATTAAAGATCACAAGATTCTCACGTGAGGTTTCATTTGCACTTTCAATTTAATTCTATATTTTTTGTATCAAAACAAAATGTCAATATAAAACATCCGCCAATCCATTGACAACATGATGGGCCAAGAGGTGCAGTCACCCAAGGGTGAGACACCCGTGATGACAATACACGAGGAGCAAAGAGGATGAGAGATCATAATGTATGTCTTACCACTGTCCTACGAAACCAGGCGTACAGTGACAGCTGTCCTCTTCAGAGCAGTTCCCTCCATTAAAGCAGTTGTAGTCCCATCGTGTACCAGCGCATGTAGATACAGGTAAATGGGGATTTCTTTATAAAGAGCACAATAGCAAATGTCAATGTACTTCACTTTTAATGTTCCCCACAAAACCTCTGAAGCCTCATTTAGCCACTTGTTAGCAACCCCCCTCTTTTTAGACAGTTAAAACATTCAACATTTAACAAGACTGACTCATTTTTAGTCGTAGAACAAAACGATTAGCTTTAGAGCCGATAGCTAGTTTGAACTACATACCTTATCAGGAATCTTAAAAAATCAACATTGACTTCATAAACTAATTTCCAGGTTTTAGGACTCATTCCTGCAGCACTATATATTTACTAAGTTTTGTTAAATAAAACGGAAATGTTTTACATAAAAGCACTTACGGATGAGTCTCAATGTACCATGGGATTTCCGGAATGTTCTCGCTGTAAGAAACCAGTTTGTTTATTATTAGCGGTAAAACAAGTACTTCCATTTTTTACTCAAGTACAAATACAATGGTTTTATAATACTCCATTACAAGTGAAAGTCCTTAATAAAAATGTACTAAATTAGAAGTAGAATGATCAGTTTAGCAGTACTATAGTATTTAGAGAATATTCATTTTCCAAGTTGAGCCAATTTGAGCTACTTTAAAAAAAATCTGTCTTATGTATGTACAAATTTGCCAGCAACTTGAGTTTTGTATACATGTGGTGGTGTGAAAAGTACAATATTTGCCTCCAAAGTGCAGTTGAGTTCAAGTAAATGTAGTAAAACAAAATACTCAAATAAGAAACAAGTACACCAATGTCGAAATAGTGCTTTAGTACAATACTTGAGTAAATGTGCTTTGCTCATCCCACCACTGAAAATAAATACAACTTATTACTCACACAGGTATGTTCCTTCTAAACTGCGAAAGAACTCACTTGCAGTGTTCACCCGTCAAACCCAGAGGGCAGAGGCACCCGTAGCTCCGGAAACCTTTGAGGCACGTGGCGCCTTCGCTGCAATTGCTGTTTTCACACATATCAGCTTCCAGGTCACACTGTTTGCCGCTGTACCACACCTCACACACACACTCGAACCCCTCCGGAAGGTTGATGCAGTGTCCGTTAATGCAGGGGCTGGAGATGCAGGAATCTGCTTGCTTTTCACACAGTGGACCCGTCCACTCGGAGGGACATATGCAGTGGTGCAGGTCAAACAGGTCCTCACACACACCGTCATTGTTACAGGGGTTGGGTGCACACACTCTAGCTCCCCAGCAGCCGTAATTTGGGGCGACACCGGGGGTTATCATCGCAAACTGCTCCTCCTGAGGTCTCGGGACGTTGAACTCTGTGTCCAGGTGGAAAGGCAGAAGAAGGCCTCCGATCTCCACAAGACCCAGGCAGCCAGACATGTTCACCCCAGCCTCAGAGCTTAACCCCCCTAGGAAGATATATGCTCCCTCCCTAAGAAAATCCAGGTCCCCAGGTGCTGTTCTGGACATACTAACCTCAGTCTTGCCTCCATCAACAACCATGATCCATCTTGACGTTGGGAGGGTCTGGTTCTCCAGGCTGATCTCCACAGTGTGCCACTCTCCATCACTGATCGGACCCTCGCTTCGTACGGTCACCTTGTTGGAGTCTTTTGCCCCAGCCTGGAGCTCCATGACCACATGAGAGTCCAGGAGGGAGATGGTGACCTGGTCTGAGTCCTTACGTGCATTCAGTAAGGTGGCAGCGGACTGTCTTGTGCGGAAGCTGATGGAGAAACTGTCGAGGTTGCGCTTAATCTTCCCATTGCTCCGGTATTGCAAAACACTGCTTTCAACACGGAATGTCACGTTAGACAAACCTGAGGTGGAGAAATGAAAGTAATTTAAATGAACTGATGTTTAGTTTACACTTTCTATGCCATATTGCATCATAAACACACTTATGATGCGTTATAATCTACTTAAAGCTCTCTATGATTATAGTTGTGAGCATTCATAGATATTCATAATGCTTTATAACAAAAATCATACACATTGTATTTCATAATAATAATACTTCATAATTGCTGGTCACTCATTTGTTTCCGAAAGACCATAGTAAATGATATATAATATAGTATAATTCCAATTGTTGTAATATATTGTAATCACCGTTATGATGCATTCATGTGATTATATAAATGACCACATATAACTTCTAATCACATTTTAATGCATTGTTACAGTAATTAACAATGATGTAATAGTATGATATACTCTTTATACAATAAAAAAATGCTTTACATTTGTATTTATTAATTACAAATCATTATTACCAATCATATTGACATGTTTAAGTGCCCAAAAGATAACAAAGCTAGCTCAGTATACTCTTTATCTGTCCTGAAGAACATTATCGAAACTATAATTATTTATTTATTTTATTATTTAGTAATATTTTATACATTTATGCAGGAGTTATTTGAACTTATCTTACAAAATAAATATAAAAAAAGCCAAAATAAACCTATTGTCAATTGTCTTTCAAAGTGCACAACAGACAAAACATTAAACAGCTACCTTATTGTGTCATCTAATGGCACATCAGGCAATCCTCTAACAAACAGAGGAACAAGACTTCCAAAAGCTGTCTGTAATACCACATAGAAAAAAGAAAAGAAAATTGGCCATTATTTGCAGAAAAAGGGAGAAAACGTCAAATATGTGTGCAGTAAAAAACACTTAATGGATCGGCTTTGATGGGGTGGCTTTAGCTGTATACCACCTCCTTTTCTCTTTGTGTTAACATGTGACACCTCCAGGAAGACTTATCATCATGAACCTCCGCAGGCATGTGGCGGCCGACGTAATCTGACCGGGGATTACCGGGTTTTAGAGGAATCCTATGCAATATCCCTGTCTCAACTCTGTTCCCTTCTGAACTCAGCCACTGTGTAATCAGCATCCGCACCAGCGAGACCACACACTGCAGATGCCCAGTACCATTGAAATTGACAAGGAAAAAAAAAAATACACCTATTTTATGCTTTTAGTTGGCGATGTCCTGACACATTCAGTTGGCTGTATACACTTTACTATCCCTAGCATAGATCTCATTCCTTGGCAAAAGCGAAAGACTCCGAGACCTTATTATCCCATGCATTTTAAGGGCAACGGTATTTATAAGACAGGAATAGCAAGACTTTAGGATATCAACTCAGGTCGCTTACACTCAAAGCCCTGAGAGCGGGGTTGACAAACAGCAGGGAAGGGGCAGGGTAACAGCTCGCACCATTTGACCTCCTCACAGCCCCGGCCCGCAGTGTTAGGCGGACAGTTGCAGATGAAGTCGTCCCACATGGAGTAACACACTCCTCCGTTGAGACAGGGGTTGACCTAACGGAGAGAAAACAAACCAAATAAATCACGTTGTAAAAATCAGTAAAGAATGAGAATTGAGCCTTATCTCACTAAAGACGTAGCAGTATTGTATCACTCACAGCACAGGCATTGTCACTGCTGCATCCTTGTGCAACGTTGACAAGTTGCTCCAGGATGTAAGATTCCACTGGAGTTTCAATGGGATAGAACTGAAGTCGCTTGTTGTTAATCCTTAGATCCTGGATGCATCCCTTAAAGTAGCCACCAAAGGAAGCTGAGACCCTCGGGTCTGGAAGCCCCCCAACGAAAACCAGATCCCCGGTATGAGCATCGATAGGCCTGATGAACATATGGCCCTGGATCTGGGCCGACTGGAACAACATGGCGGCCATTCCTTTCAGCATCACAGTCACCAGATGAAAATGTCCGTCACTGATCGCAGTCCGACCAACGAGGGTCTCAAAGTTGTTGACCTGAACTTTGATCCTTCCTTCTTCCAACCACAGGCGGAGGTACTGGGTGGTGCTGTTGGCCAGGATGAGGAGCAGGCCGCTGGACTGTCTGGTGCGAAGGAACAGGGATATGTTCACAGAGTCACCTGGCTCGTCATCCAATGAGAAGGAAGCATAATTCTCCACGTCTTGGTTGCCAAACCTTGCTGTGACATACTCTGCATGGATACAAGGAAGAGAGATGGAAGATGGAAGAGAGAGAAAAGGGCATGAAAGCCAAACTTAAACCGTACAATTTTGGACAATATGCCTATTTGCTTTCTTTAGGCAGGTCACATAAGAGGATTGATGCCACAAAATGTTAGTACATGTTTTGACAATAGACTGTAAAGAAGTGGGCGCAGTCCCTTCAGCGTCAACTATTGGTTTTTATGGACTATCGTTTACAAGTTTGGCACGTTAGCTGTCACCATCTTGTTTTTTTAGAGAGAAGAAACTTAAAACCATAAACTCATACGTAAAATGTTTACTGAGGTAGGTAATACAACAAGAGAGAGGATAGGGTCATTTTCTAAAACCAATGGAAATAATCCAGATTTAAGGCTTCTAATTCGTTTCCACATTGGTTTTGACTTTTTAGAACTGGAAACTTTGTTTTGACACATGGGTAACATTTAACTATTCCTAGCACAGTTTTCACAATGACAAGTGCCCTACGTTCATGGAAAAAGGAAACTGCTGAAGAAACTAACCAATGCAAATGCCTCAGCATGGTACGATTCAATAAGACTCACTGATTTGTCAAGTCCAGTCAGATGAGCAACTGAAACCCACGTTTCTTTAATCCTCTGCCCAGGTGTGTGGCTGAGCACGGTGCTATTTCTACTGGCACTGTAAGCTCCTTTACAGTCTAATGACTAATTTTACCCCCTGCTGGGTGGCTCCCCTCACAGTTAACCTTTGAGATGTATTGCACTGACGTTGAACTTGATTTGACCTGTAAAGGTCGTGGATTAAAAACCCTAATGAGTACAATAGCTAAATGAACAAGTCAAAGTATTTATTGTGCAGTAAAATGTTCCCTGTCAGTATTTTCCGTTTCTATATTATGGCTTTCATTGATTAATTTTACTGTTGTAAATGATTAATTAAAATGTTATGTTTATTTCAATTATATTTGATTTATCTTTTGTTGGACATTTTACTTTTACGTCTTCTTTTTAATACTTTTTTCTACATTTAATTATAATTTTATTTCACATTCTTACCTTTACTAGTCAATTTATATTTCATACTAAAATGACCAACTGTTTCCCGAGGGATAAATAAAGTATTCTGATTCTGGCTAAGGCTGCACTCATTGTAACTCCTCCTACAGTTGTGTAGTTGAATATACATCAGCAATATATAATGGTCCATAACATCATTATGGTTGTTTCTTTGCATCTATCCTCTGAGAACAACGTATATAAAAAGTGAACATTTCCTAAATTTCTCAGAAAACCAGCTACATTTGAGCTGATCCAAGAGGCTTTTTAAAGAATTTATTTAGCTTAAAGCGTAGAGCTATTTTTCTCAAATGGAACACTACATCCTTCCAGTTATCACCAACATTAAAAATCCACAAACAACAGGAAGGGGTTTAAAAATTGTAATCCAAAAAACATAACTAAAGCTGTCAGATAAATGTAGTGGAGTGAAAGGGACAAGATTATCCTCTGAGAGAGTAGAAGTATGATACAAAAATGGTATTGGATATTTGTATTAAAGGTCCCATGACATGGCCATTCCTACTGATCATAATTCCATTGTTGAGTTCTACTAGAATATATTTACATTGTTCAATGTTCCAAAATCACATTGTTTTTCTCATACAGCATCTCTGTATACAGAGTATTTGTGTTGGGTAATCTATGGTAGGGCTAAGCCATAGTGGTGGGGCTCAAGTCAGTATTTGCAATGTAATTACATACACGCTTCCCTTGACAGTGAAACGCCACGCGTGAGATTTAGATTATATCCGTCTCAATCCAAATTGAACTGTATGAAATAAAAAGGCACATTTGTCTTGTAGTAAATAAAAAGGGCGACCTGAAGCCAATCCTGCAACTTCCACACAAGTGAAAGAGTTGACATGCTGAAAACCCAACCTCTGCAGGGGAGTCTGGGGGGATTCTCCCCCAGGAGATTTTTTGAAATACTAACATAAAATACACATTCTGGTACTCTCTTGAGAAGAAAAAATAAATAAATCTATTACTACACGACATATTTAAAAAAATGAATGCCATTTTTGTTTTTTGTTCTGACAGTTGAACCTGCTGCTCCTCACAGAGAGAAGAGGGAAGAGGCTTTGTGAATGACTTTGCATTGTGGATAAGGGTGGATAGCCCCCATTGTTCTGTGTGTCAAAATGAAAGACAGCCCACAGACCTGTCAATCATCAAACCGTGGGGTCTTATTTGATTACGTGTTGTTTTCTATCAAGTAATGTTGTAGCCTATGTATCGATGTATAAATGTACTACAGCAAAAGTATTCTCCGTCGAGACTTCCTGCAACAACACCACGCCGTTATCTTGATTCTGATTGGCCAGAAGACATTATCAAAGATGTTCTATTGAGAAGACGATCACTACGTGACAAAAGTTTTCAAAACCGTTTCTAGTCTTCGGTATTTCCAGACAAGTGGCTACTGAAATCAATCTTACTAACTGCTGTCTGTGCAATTTACTACTGCTTACTTTAACATCATTTTTCATGGTGGGGCTAAGCCATTTCTTGGTATGGCTGTAGCCTACCCCAGCCATACCCTGGCGCCGCCACTGTCTGTATAGTATGTGTATACACTCTGTCCTACATGCCTTGTTGGAGCCCCCACTGTGCTCTGATGTGTGTTTATGTGTTAGCAACGAGGAAATGACACCAGTAATGACTAACAGATGAGAATGCTGCGTGGGGTCTGGGTGCCGTGTTGGCGGGACGTTGCGGGGCTCGCTGCTCCGCCTTTGAGACTTGAGGAGCGGACAGTGTCAGCTGTATTACTGGTGTCGTGTCCTGGTTGCTGCGAGACAGCGAGACACCGCGAAACTCAGCATGAACTCAGCCTGAGCACACACACGTGAGTGTGTGGCGAACTGTGAGTGGAGATCCACGCTGAGAAAAGATAAGGCTGAGCGTGCCGGCGAAACTCCGCGGAGTATCGCGGCTGAGAAAAGATACGGCTTAGTGATTGTGTGTGTGTGTGTGTGTGTGTGTGTGTGTGAGGAGCTCCACGGATTGGTCCATTTGGTCGTTGTTACGTCACTTGGTACCAGGAAGAAAAAATAAAATCTCCAACGAGGCGTTCACAACGACCAAATGGACCAATCCGTGGAGCTCCTCACACACACACACACANTCCATTCGATAAAACCCGTGTTCGACTGTTCTCTTCCGTAGGCGGGACTGGGCTTGTTCTAATTCCGGTAGTTTCTTTACGGATTGGGTGTTTCGTTCCGTCTCAACCTCTGGTATGACCCGTACCAGTGAATGGAAAGGTCCAAGCGGGGCTCTTACAGTCTCCCGTTGTCGAGGTGAGGCCGTTGACAATTTCCTTTTATTAACTCAAACACACCTGAGTTTAGTACTACGTCGGAAAGTTGCTCATTTTCTGTAGGATTTGTGTCCTCGGACCGGGTCATGAGTGGATGAAGCTAGTGTGTTTCCTACACTTCAATGTTTAGCTACAAAGGTTTGTGCCGAATCCTCGACAGGACGAGGTCCTTTCTTTGGTCAGCGTATGCGTAGTTTCTGTGACTGACTTTGACTTCTCTTGATACGAGTCTAGCTTTTCCTCGATATGCGTCACGAGAAACCTACATCCGCCAAAGTGGTTATGGACATGCCTGCTGTCCACTTAGCAGCTCAGTCTTAGTATTCGGTGAACTCAGTTAGTACGCATTCGGGAATCGTCGACATGGTGGCGCAGACGTTGCGTACTATAGACGTCGATGTCTCTATACTTGTAGTGATAGCTCGTGTTTGGTCCTTTTGTTTAGGGATAGCGTCTGTGAGACAGGTCTTTCGGTGAACTCACAATGCTGGCGAGGTACTCACTCCCGTACCTGATGGTTTATTTGTGACACTAGTCGTACGAGGCCATTCGCTGGCGTTTTACCGTCTCTAGTCTCGGCGATGTCGGTTTCTACTCGTCGAGAGTCACGACTCTGTCCACTAGGCTCGTCCCACCGGACTCTTTTTTTTTTTACAGGTGGACGTCAGAGTCTCATAACCTTAGTATCCCTACTCTATAGTCTCTGTCTACCGTAGGATGACTTTCCTCTCTTTTAGTAGCACGGCGTGAGGGAGTCCCGACTTTACGAAAGTTCGTAAGTTCGTCCTGTGAATCCCTACCTTTTCACGTTTGTTGCACGTTCTCTACATGACAAGACCGGTTCCTACCCAGTCGTCTATCTCTGTGATCATCCTGGACGTCGTGGACGGAACTCGCTGCGTCGAGTGAGGGTTTTCTCGGATACTACAGTGTGGGTTAGGGTCTTGTTGGAACCGTCCATTATCGGTGACTAGACATGTGTACCTTGGTCCACGCCGTCCACTTTTATAAAAACCACCACCGACTATATACTCACTCCTGTAAACTCCATCTCATATGTGGTCAGGCAAAAGTTCTGGGCGAGGAGTCATCATGGGTATGTGCTCTGCACGTTCTGGCTACCAAGCGAGCTAGCACGTGTATACAGGTTATCATAGGTCGGATCAGGGCTGCTATACCTCGGACAGCCGATGTCTAGCGTTGCGGCAAGCTTCGAAAACAGTACATACTCGTCAACGTTGTAAGTGCCGTTCAATACATTGTGTCTCGTTGGCAACGGATTCGTCATTTTTGTCAACGTACAACCAATAAAAGCGAATCGACGAGTATCCTTTCGTGTGAGTCTCTTACTGGGACCTGTCGTGACAACCTCATAACTTGAGAACGTCACCTACCATAACTATTAGCGGTCATCATGAGGCGATCTGCACCGCGCGAGACGTAGGAGTGGTGAGCTTAGACGTACGAGTGCTGTCTCGAACGACAGCGTCGTCGCAAGTACTAATAGCTCAGGGGCGCTCCCTCCACGACTTGTCACAGTTTGTAATTGTTTTTAGTTATAATGAGAATCCTTACTATCTAGTTACACGTTGATGGGTCACCCTCTGGTGCTAGGCGAAGTGTCGAACGCGATATGGGTCTCTGGCCTTTTGGGACCTGTTGTCGCAACTCTGTCGTCAGATCGGTCTCTTAGATGTTGTAGAACGTGCATGCCTGCCAGTGCATACAAGCCGCGCTACGTCCTGCAGGACGAAACTCCATCTTTTTTTAGTGGTTCGGAGTGGGAGGAGTCGATCAGTAGGTTTTCGACTTCTGGTACAAGCGAGCTAACTTATGTTGTGTGCTGTGATCAGTCGCTTTACCTGGAACCGGATGTCAAGTGTTCTCAAATTTCGAAACGAGTACGTACCCTTGAAAGTCGTACAGTGTTCGTCAGGAGGACATAGGTGTCTCGTTGCCCGATCGTCTTTTTGTCAAGTCTGACGGTTTTCGAGAGTACCTGTTTCGTGTGCGTGTCTCTTGACTGAACATGGTAGTCGAACAACCTCATATCTTTTGTCGTGGTCACCTCCAAACTTAGCGGTCGCGTCGATGAGTACTCGTTCGCAGGACGCGAGCGAGGAAAGGCCGGGGGTGGTGACTTCTTCGTAGATTTCGGTTCTCGAACGGACAAGGCGTGCGTGGCAAGTGCTCGTCCTCTCTTGATTGCCACCGACTCTTCACCATTACGTTTTGTGCTGTTTTGTTATAATACTGTCCTTCGGTCAGTGAGCGGACGTGGATTGGCACCCTGGCGGTGCTGGCGAAGGTCGAAGGTTGTCCCTGTACTCCCTTTGGACGTTGTCATAGGCTCGTCGTCCATGGCGTCTCTGGGACCGTTGAGACGGTGCCTGCCTCCAGTGTACAAAGGCCGCTTTGTCGGCGGCAGTGGAAGATGTTTGTACACCTCTCACTGTGTCTAGTCCTCTGAGGTAGTCTGCTCAGTCAACCTCGACTCCTGATTCACTTTGACACAGCAGCGACTTGCTCGGCTAAGAAAACTTGCCGAGAAACTATTACATTGCTCCCCTTGGCTCAGGCATGAACCACTCTCGGCAAGAAAAAGCAAGTTATAGCAAACAGGCTGAGTGAGGACGGTTTAGGTGATCGGAAAATTTGTCGAACTAAAACAAGGGGTTTTTGCATAAGACACTTCTGCGCGTGGGGATGTGAGACTTCGACATAGGATACGAAAGCTGGTGCCTTTGGGACAGACGAGGGAGTCGGTCGTCGAGGACGAGCGCTCGTCGAACCGTGGCAGCAACTGGGTTTCAGTCTCGTGTGACCCCGAGTGTCCCCCCCCCCCCCGCTTCGAGGTTGTTGTAGGCAAATCCTCGTCTTCTCACTCTCGGTGGTTTCCAGAAGTCGTGCTCCGTCACTCTACCCCACCCGCAGAATTGCTTATGTGCTCTCTTCATCTTCAGTATTTGTTCACCATGTCCTGTGCCATCTGTTGTCACCAAAAGCCTACTGTTTACTCGGTTTTTGCGCTCTTTCGCGTCAACACCGTTGCGACCGTGGCCGGATGTTAAGTTTTATGTAAGTGACCCGCGCCGCGCGCGCACTTAGGTACCGCCGCGCGGGTGGGGCGAAAGACAGTACAAATGTTACGTCTAATAACTGTAATCCAGCTGTTTAATGTCAGTTAGTAATAGGACCACTAATAATAGCGTCTATTTGGATCATTGGCCGGCGGGGGAAATTTTTTTTGCCGAGAAAACTTCGCTGAGAAAAAACTTCGCCGGAGAAACTTTCCTGTTGCGCCGGGTAGTCTTATGGGAGGAAGTTTTCTCGGTATTTTTAGGCGTAGTCGATGACTCCGGTGTGATTCTGAGCCGTCTCCTGTGACTCTTTTTGGTCCGCCGCGGGGGTCTTCCGTTAGTGTGTAACAAATGTTATTCTAGTGTGTCTAGTTCCGGCGTATCACTTCGGTTCTCTACACAATTTGCGACACTTTTTCTCTTTACGTTATGCTGTCAGTGAAACTAATTTAGACACATAATACGGTTCGTCGACTGTTACGTGACACTTAAAACAAACAATCCCTTTAACTTACATTGTCAAAACAAAGCTTCCGTTCATGATGTACGAGATAATCTTAATGAAAGACCCGTTGACAAGTTTGTTCTATTCAATATTGACGTCTTCACAAATGATTCTACAACTACATGGCTTCGGAAATATTATAGTTGAGGGAGAGTCACTATCTCATTTAGTGTTAATCATCTATATTACGAATTCTGGCATGTAAATAAAAATTTTAACGAAATTACGTATTACCAAATATTAAACAATACCGTCGATTATGACTAAAAAAAATTTCTTCCCTACATTGTAGAACCACTTATTTCTAGAAACTAATGTCTCTAGTTCGCACCTCTGCATTATCATACACACGTACAATGCGCGGTCAGCCTTATTTCTACCTGTGAGCCTTTACTCTCTCCATCGGTGAAGTAGCGAAAATACATCTGTGAATGTACAGGTAATCTTGTCTTAAATGTCTGTGTAAACACTCAACATATGCGACCGACCTGCTTCTCTCTAAGGATCGAAAGGATTACTATTAAGTCGCTAACCAAAAACATTAGGTTTATACTTCCGCTTTATACAGTGTAATCATATTACTGACAGTGCGCTCAGTAGTAAAACTCTTTTCCCCGGTATTTTGCACTTGTCCTTATTCAGCTTTATGCCTTTTTCTCTGGTTCTCTCCAGCATGGCACGCAGGCTGGCGTCGTGCTCCTCTTTGGTGCGGCCGTAGACTATGATGTCATCTACGATGGCGGCAATGCCTGGAAGCCCCTCATAGGCCTCATCCACTCTCCTCTGGAACTCATCCTGTGCAGATATGATTCCAAAAGGCAGTCTCTTGAAACGGTACCTGCCGTAGATCGTGTTGAACGTGGTTAGCATAGATGAGTCGTGTGTGAGCTTTATATTCCAGTATCCAGATCTGGCGTCTAGTACACTGAAATACTGTGCTCCAGCCAGTTTTGGTGTGACATCATCTAGAGTAGGGAGTGGATAGTGGGGTCTTTGGATAGCTTTGTTAAGGGCGTGGGGGTCTAGGCATATTCTCAGCCTATTTGTTTTCGGCTTTTCCAACACTACTAGTGCATTAACCCATTCAGTTGGCTCTGTGACTTTTTGGATAACGTCCAGTTTTTCCATGTCGTCCAACTCATCCTTGAGCCGGTCACGCAGAGCATATGGGATGCGTCGAGGTGGACATACCACTGGTGGTACAGAGGGTTTGAGTTGGAAACTGCATTCTCCAGGAAACAGTCCGATGCCTTTAAACACATCAGCAAACTCTTCCATCATGGTTGTGTCTGTTATTGGCTTTGCATCAACTACATGTATCATGTTGACTAGGTTTAAATCTAGACATGCTCTTAAGCCTAACAGAGGTGGAGCATTTGTATGGACTATGTCAAAACCTACCATGGCTGTTTTCTCACCATGTTTACATGTCAGTCTACATGTTCCTTCTGCTTCTATCCTGTGCCCACCATAATCTGAGAGTTTGCTTGATGGGGGGCCTAGTATTACACTTCCATATATCTTGCGGAATGTGTCTGCTGGTATAATACTAGTCTGAGCACCAGTGTCCATTTTAAACTTCAGTTTGTTCCTCGCTTTTCCTATTTCTACTTCTGCATATGCCTGTTCTCTATTTGTGTTTTCATGCTCTTTTATGATAGCATCAATATAGAGTTCTTCTAGTGACTGTTCTGCACTGCTTGAGATGGTATGCAATTTTCTGGGATTATATCTCGTCTGTGGCTGCTGTGTTTGTGACCTACACACTTTAGCAAAGTGGTTGGGCTTCTTGCATTTGCTGCATTGGCGACCCTTTGCTGGACATTCCTCAGTGCGGCTGTGCTCCCTCCCGCATGCTCCACATTCCTTGCTCCTCACGGCGCTGTTACGATCATTCCATGTCGTCTTGTGCCCACGGGATGCTTGGTCTGCTCTAAAAGGTTTTCTGCTAACCGCGTGAGCAGAGCGACTGTCGTGGCTAGCAGCGGGGGTTAGCATTGTCTTTAGCTGCTGCTGTGATAGCTCATGTGAACGTGCAATGTCAATGGCTTTCTCTAGCGTCAAGTCTGGACCGGGACATAGCAGTTTTTCGCGCACTCTTAGTGAGTTTGTAGCAAAGACAATCCTGTCTCTAATCATATCCTCACTGTTTGGGTAGTTGCAGTCTTTACTTAGCAATTTTAGCTCCGTTACCAACTTGGCAAAACTCTCACTGTCGCCTTGGATTTTTTCATGAAATTTATAGCGCGCAAATATGGGATTTGCTTTCGGAGTTACATAAGCTTCAAAACCGTCATAGTACGTTTTTAGTACCTTACTTTGGTCTTCTGTGAGAGTCCATGTGTAAAAAACATCTCTGCCTTTTTCCCCAATCCATAGGAGTAGATAGCTACATTTTTCCTCCTCGTCTTTAGCATGTAGCGGGCCTAAAACATTAGCTGCACATGCTGCCGAAACTTTCTCCATGCGTCCGGCAGATTAGACGAGTCCCAGTCCATTCGTGGTGTTGGAACGCCTGTGTTCTCCATCTTCCGTCGTCAGGTCGATGATAAATGAACTAACTCTGACACCATGTAATATTCTGTTCTATGGACATGTAAGTGTCTACATAAACAGATGAAGCGGACTACTTCTATCATTCCGAGTGTCCATCTTTATTTCCACTGGCGCGTAACATGCACACATTCATCACGTCATCCACGTGATCTCTGTAATCAAAGATCTTGTATTCACCAAGATGTTACAATTTATTGAGCTTTAAAACAAATGAATAACGAATCTATATAATATAATAATAAAATACATGGAGCATCTCTTTTTCCTCCCTCTCTTCTGACAGCGTCAGTGTCTGTCTCATGCAGCTGCTGATCCAGTAATGAGTGACCCGACAGTAAAAATAAACATATTTATAACTAGTTTAGGTAGTTTGAGAGGTAATTAAAATAGCTAAGGGTGATGATCTGACTTGAAGTGTGTGTTTTGCTCCATTCACCGCTGCATCACAGCGGGAGGAGCTGCAGGTGAGCAGAGCTGCGTGTCTCCGTCCTGTCAGATTAGACTTCACTCGCATTTATGTCCATATCGAGAGAAAGATAAATAATCTGAATTCAGTGTGCAGTTTACTTTGACGCGGGGGGTGAGCAGCGGAGGTGGGGAGAGGCGGGGCTATTGCCTCATCATTATCAGAAAATGATCGTATAGGGCGCACACACGGAGCCGTCGGACCCCCCAGAGCGTTGCGTATGCCGTTCTATCCACATTGGGACCCGTTATCGTTTCCGCAGTTGTTTACTGTCATATTCGGTCGTCCTCGTGTGGCCGAACGGTCTATATGACACTAAACAGTAACGCAAACGTATGGGGAAGAGACAGGTGGTAATCACACGATGAGGGTGAGACACCTTCTCTCCTGTGGAGCCACAGATAATGGAGCTCTCTCTGTGGAGGATCTCTATCATTTTCCTTCCTCCTCTCTCTAAGATCTCTTTCTTCCTTCTGTTTGTTTTATGATGTCCGTTCCCTGGCTTCTCTTTCTCTTGTCTAACCAACAAGGTGAAGCTTGTAATTCATTCACTGTATGTTATGGTTTGACACAAGTAGGTTACAGTTGTCAATGTATGATGTCGTACTTCACAATTTAATAGAGCAGGCTTGTTTCAAGTGTGAAGGCTACTATCAGGCTGCGAAGAGGAAGAATCGTTTTTTCACTCTATTGTTATTTTCCACACACGCACAAGGCCAAATAGATATGGATAACAGTTGTTGCAGGGATGTACGAATCATGGGGCTGCCCTAGTAGTTAAAAGGTCAGCAGTCTTGCTCAATGGGCACCTTGGCAGTGATAGATATATATGTGTTTCTGAAAACCCCCCCTCCTCCCAAAAAAGAAAGAACATAATTGTTCTTGAACATTCCCAACAAAATCTAAAGGACACAAAAGAAATACCTACAAAAAAGACCTTGATAATCTTTACATTATCTTCTGAAGTACGATAAATGAACATGACTACGACCCTTTTACTTTAATGACATGACGTACAATATATAGACATGACTACAAGCATTATTCCATAGGGGGCTTATCATACGAAATCAGGACATGACTGCATTCCTTTTTATGTTATGAAATTATTTTTTTGATAAATGGAAATGATCTATATCATATCAGAGTTTTAAAATGACAATATCATTCATTGCTGCAATTATTCTGGGACATTATATCATCCAACAAAAGCTATGGCAAACCAGATGCACTATTTGCATTGAAAGTTAGCATCGCAAGGCCTCGCTCGAGACAAAAGCAATGGGGTTTTTCTATTGGATATGATTTGTCAAACACGTTTAATATGAAGTAGGAAAAAGTCAAAAGCTGATGTTAGGCTATAAATAAACTACATCACCTTCAGATGACTTCACATCAACCACTTTAAGAATTATGTGATGTTTGGTAGTCTCATTTAGTCACGTTTTTATGACACAGTGAACCTTCGGAGATGTACGAGTCGGGAATTTACTGACCTATCGTAATTCCTAGAACAAATCAGAACAGTCTCCTACGTTTTTGTTAACCAAAGATCTTGTTTCAGGCATTTAATCACTAACACGTTCAAAAAAACTTCACCTTTGAGACGAGGAAACCAGAAATGGGTTTAAACCATTTCTGGGTTTAAAGATTCATTCCCACACCTCTCCTTAACATAACTGAATGTTGAGCTATCTCACCAGATAGTCTAAAATCAGGGCTATTCAATTAGTTTGGAATGGGGGCCGGTTGATGAAAATTATCCAAAGCAAGGGGCCGGGAAAAAGATGGCTTGAAATATGAGCAATCATATTAATAGCTTCAGATACAGTAAATACTACAACAGCGTAGTGGAGTGCATATATTGTGTTTCATTCAATCAAACAACATAGCCCCAAGGCCTTTCTAGATCTAAATGGAACTCAGTAGGCCTACATGTGAAGCTAATTTAACCATCAACATCATTTGATTTAATTCAGGTGAAATGATCTAAACATTCACGCAGGGATGCAACCAATGACAGGAGTTATCACTACAGTAGCTAGTAGGTGGGTTCGAAACCCGAGCCCGCCGAAGTTTTCAGGCAATGTCTTCCCCTCTATCTCTCAATGTAACACCCTCTCTGGAATAAAGGCACTCTGGCCCAAAACAAAAGAAGTAGATTAGATTCTAACATTATACTCAAAGGGATAGCCCTGCTGTACAGTCACATAAACACAAAATCACACAGCACAGCTCACACACCATAATACAAGTACAAGTAAATAACAATCGACAATTTAAATGCAATAAATGCTACAATCTAAAAGATTTCAATACACTAAGGAGAAGAGGTGGGTTTTAAGAAGTGATTTAAAAACAGACAGTGTGGACAGTTATTGATTATGATTACCCAACATAAAGGTCCAGCTTCTCTTAAAGCAGCTTGTGATTGTTTTGCTGTGTACGTTTTGACAGTTTGGTGCGAAGTTAGCCAGAGTTCAGAGTACAGCTCAGTGGAGCCAGCAGCAGCAGCAGCAGCAGCAGCAGCACGGCTCCAACCTGCTTCCTCAGAGCGTCTTCAAGAGGGTGAGCAGCCCACACACTACATCATTCAAAGTCAACTTTATTGTCAATCTTCCAGTTTGTGTGTACAGACCGAGAGATCGAAAATACCGTTTCCCACAATCCGAATATAAAAACAAATGTATATAAAGATATTTGTGCAGATATGTATACACACAGAATCAAAGACACATTTTTACATGTGCACACATTAAGACCTAAATAAAAACACAACAATCAATATATACAAAATAACAGTCACTTCAATATTTGAGAATGTACATTAGTGCAAAATTGTCCAGAGAATGTATATTAGTGCAAGATTACAGAGGTTAACTAACAAGGTACAAATCACATGTAAAAAGTGATCTATCCGTGGTGCAGGAACGTGTTTCCCACTGTCAAGCAGTTTGTGCAAGAAAGAGAAGAACATCATGAGCCAAAGTGATGTCTACTCGTGCAAGGGGAGTGAGATTTGAGCCTTAAACCTTTCGCTATTTCCGCTGAGATCAAAGCTAACTGTATTGGATTTAACCTGGATGTCTCATCCTGTAATTCCCCAGCTTCTAGGAAACATCCTAGAAGCTACTTCCTAGCATGCCCCATCATTTAGGTTGCACACTGAGAGGCGACAGCGCTAATGCATATGTTTGTTTCTCATTCGCCAAGTAAAGATCTCCTCGATATTTTGAGTTAAGGTGAAGGCTTTGTGACAAGAGCTCCTGCGCTACTGATGACGGAGCTCAACAAGACTTTATTTTCTGAGGAGAAAATACATTTGCACTGGTGTAAATATATGATGTAATTATGTAACCCTCGGAACCAGCCACACCTGTGCGCGTACATGCATGTGAGCGTCAAAGTGCGCTTAGTACTAGTTTTACTTATATACACTGAACAAAAATATAAATGCAACACTTTTGTTTTTGCTCCCATTTTTCATGAGATGAACTCAAAGATCTAAAACATTTTCTATATACACAAAATAACCATTTCTCTCAAATATTGTTCACAAATCTGAAAAAATCTGTGATAATGAGCACTTCTCCTTTGCCGAGATAATCCATCCCACCTCACAGGTGTGGCATATCAAGATGCTGATTAGACAGCATGATTATTGCACAGGTGTGCCTTAGGCTGGCCACAATAAAAGGCCACTCTGAAACGTGCAGTTTTGCTTTATTGGGGGGGTCTGGGGGGGTCCGAAAACCAGTCAGTATCTGGTGTGAGGGTTAGGGTTAGGGTAATGTTGTGAATCGAGTGGCCCATGGTGGTGGTGGGGTTATGGTATGGGCAGGCGTATGTTATGGACGACGAAGACAGGCCACTCGATTCACAACATTACCCT